ATGTGTGTACGAGGTCTGGGCATCGTCTATGCTTGGCCCAGACCCCACCATCTCACGATTGTATGTGTGTGGAGTGATATCTATGTGAGTCAGTCCGTTTATCAGACTTCCGCTGCATATATGCTCATCCTACATTGGTTGATCTTTGGTTTTGCCCATATTCATTGAAGTATGTAACATCCACCCCCGAGTGTGTGAGGTTGGCTAGGGACTTCTACAAAAATCTATTTACGTCGCATATTCTCGGTCAGGACTAGGAGCATAGAAATGCGGAGCTAGACGACTTCCTCACCCCCCTCACGAAGGCTCTCCCCCTCCACCATAAAGAGGCACTGGAATAACCCATCTCCAAGGAAGAGATATGGTCAGCCCTCCTTCAAATGGAGGAGAAAACCCCAGGCATGGACGACTTCCCTAAAGAATTTTCGGAGGCCTTCTGGGGATTGCTGGCAGACGACCTGATGGACTACTATCTTCAAGATGAACCTTCCCATCACGTTGTCTGCAAGATGGTCGCTAAGGCACTTACCGACAGGATGTTGCCGCTGATGAAACTGGTCATACATCCGATGCAAACCGGCTTCCTCAAAGGACGCCGTATCCACGACAATATCCTCTTGGTAAATGAAATGCTCAGACTGGCTCGACAGTCAAAGAGCAATGCGGCAATCATCTTTTTAAACTTTGAAAAAGCTTATGACCATGTGGACTGGGTTTTCCTTGGCAGGTGCCTGGCCAACATGAACTTTGGCTAAAACTTCAGATGCTGGGTGAGGATACTCCACGGTAATGCCTCAACCAAAGTGCAGCTCAATGGTAGTGTGGCTCCCGAATTCCCCCTCCACCGCTTTGTTTGCCAAGGTGATCCCATCGCCCCGTACCTCCGTGATCGTGATGGAGGCCTTGGCAGCAAATCTGAGAGGAACAAGGAAATTAAGGGACTGCGGGGCACCACCATCCCTGAGGATGCTCTCCACATGTGCTCAATTTCTGCGGATGACCTCACGGTGAAGCCTCCCGCAAGAATCTGGAGGAGATCGAACGGCTCATGGACAGCTTCTGTGCCCTCTCTGATAAGGACATTAACTGGGGAAGCAAAACGTTGGGCTGGTGGCTGCACCACGATTGAGGCAGGTCCAATGGGATCTCATGGACACTACTGGACTTCCCCATTAGAATACTTGGCATCCACATGACCGCCACTGGACAACCAGCTACCAATGACGCATGGATTATAGCGCCCGCCCTGCAGAAGCTTAACTCTTGGCAAGGCAAACACACTTTGGCATTTGGCAGAGCACTGATCCAAAATAGCAAGTTCTTACTTCTCTATGGTACAAATCTGCACTGTGACCCTTGAGCAAATTGGCCTCTAGCTGCTCAAGGAACAATTGGCAGCCTTCTTCTGGAGTAAAAAACACAAGCTTCACACTGTAATTAGCCGGGTTACCTAGTCCTTGGTTGTGCGACCAAAGGCTCGAGGAGGCTTGGGGATTCTGGACCCGCACACACAGTCAATTGCCCTCTCCCTCCAATGGCTCCGAAGCCTTGTTTACACGCCTCAGTTACCTTGAGAGCCACTTCCCGTCAAGCAGCTCACAAGACTGGCTCCAGAGGGGCCCCCCACTATCACCCCCTCGCTTGGCTGGATGAAACCTAGTGGACTATTCCCAGACCTAGCGTACCCAATGGCCCAAACCAGGCAAGCGCCGCTGCTAAAGTGGACCTCAGACAGGACCAGTTTTGGACCCAGCTACTCAAATGCTGGTGGACCCTCCCCTTCTTGATGGGAAGAGGTGGCGAGGCAGCCCCTCTTTGGCAATAGAGCGGATGTTGGACCGCCATGGGAGTATCTTCTCTAGCTCAGCGGCACCATGGTCTACTTGGGTGAAGAAGGGTGTTGTTAGCTTAGGGGACCTGTGGGACAGTGAGGGGAAGGACAGGAAGACAGTAGGGCACCTCAGGAAAATCCTGCCACACACCAGGAGGCTGGGGGAACACCTAGAAGAGATATTTCTCTCGATACCCCTCTCATGGGTCCGTACCCTAGGTTGCGGCCTGACATTGTTGGAAAGTGACTGGGTAGCAATCCTCGGGGAACTGTACCACATACGGAATATTATAGAGGTGGTATAGAATGAGGTGCTTACTAACCTCTTTCAGAGGAACTCAAGGGATATACTAAGCCGCTGCGTACCTGATAGGACAATGTGGGTTGGGAAAGAACACATTTACTGGGTTCGGGCCTACCAACATAAGAACTCTTGGGTGGCCTTCAAACCGGGGCTTCCGATTGACAAATTGACCCTGGACCCCGAGGAGTCGAGATGGCGGTCCCAATCGACGTCGTCCTGCCCAAGGTGCCTCCACCTCCACTCCATGGGCCTCAAAGCCTTTTACTGGCTCGATTGACAGGATTAGGGACCGGTGCGGCAGACACCTAAATGTGCCTAGGGAGAGTCTTACACCAATCAAGTGGTTCAGAAATGTGAAAAGCAAACCGGCCAAGATGGCCTCCCTGCAATGGCAGATTGCCCACCGCTGCCTGCCCACCAATGCTTGTATGATTGACCACTCTCACCTAGAACAGAAAGGGATCGCCCTCCCACGGTGTGCGGCCTGTCAGGAAGGTTTCCCCTCCCGGTAGATAAAGGAAACCATTGAACATGTCTTCCTGCAGTGCCCCAGGGCAATAAAATCATCTCGTAAAAGAATAGTGA